AGGAGATATTTTAGGACTTTCCCAAATTCTTATAATGTATGGGCAAGAAAGAAAAATACTGGATCTGAGTCAGAAGACTTCATTTGTGTCCCAGATTTACCTCTTGCTAGTTTTTGATCTGTCTGAGCGGCAGTTTCCTCACAACACCATTCTCTTCTTCATCTCATCAATAACTAGTATTTATTGAGCATTTACTATATGCCAATCACCGTGCTAAGAGCCATGGAATCTACACATCAACCTCATGAATCTCATATTCTTGTTAACCTGCGTTACAGGTAAGTGATAAGCTCAGAGAGGTTAACTAGCTTGCCCCAGGTCACACAGCCCAAAGTGAGGGAGTGGGAATTTCCGTGCAAACAACCTGAGCCTCCCCTCCCCCAACTCAGGTGTATTTGGGGGACAATTTTTTTAAGTGCTTCCTTGCTCGTATTTCCTTCATTCAATTTTACAGATGTCCCTCCAAGACACTTCTCAAAAATAGTTCTTTTATAGAATATGAATAGAATGTATAGAATATACATACTAATGTATGTATGTATATGCATGACTGGGACATTGTGCTGTACACCAGAAATCGACACATTGTAAGTGATGGTACTTCAATGAAAAAAAGTTATTTGTTATTTTCTAAACATCTTAAGTGGCTCTTAACTTGCACATGCTAAATTCCACATTTTCTAATCTGGCATTTCAATGCCTTTTACAATAAGCCCCAACTCATCTCTCTAGGTGTTCTCATGGATAGCTACCTACCCCCTGCCCTTTGAACCGAGTTATGCTTTTTCTGCTGTTCTATTTCCTCTGACTGAAAGGCCTTTCTCAAGGGCCACCCTTCTGCGGAGCTAGATTATTTTTGTCTGGAGGGATCCCTCCCTACCCCACCTGGGCAGGGACTGTGTAATTCATATTGTTTCCTTAAATACAGTATCACATACAGTTAGTTGTGTCCCTGAAGCGTCTCCTTTAACACCCTAGAAGATGGCAGACGACAGTGTGTGCCTCCTTCTCCACCCACAGGAATGGGACTGCCGGCTTTTTCAGGAAGTGGGATCAGGAGGGATTTGTGGTCCTGGTCAGGGTGGAATTGCTCTCAAGGCTGCTTTAAGCTCTGGTGAGTCTCCTTGGAAGCTAGACTATCACTAGCTTCTCTCAGTGTCACCTCTACTTTGTTTTGCCACCAGAGGAAAACTGCTAAGCCTTAGGCCACGAGAACCCCAAGGCTGGTCCCTGGTCCTTGATCTGCACGGCATTCCAAGTTCACCTGCGGGGAGGAGCTGGAGGAACAAAACTGAGCTCTTCTTCAGTTCCAGGACAGTCCTTCACTAGAATCTGTTTCAGTCTGTCTTGAAATCAGAATCGGACCCTGTGGTTTTAGGTCGAATGGTTTATGTCACACAAAGTTAACAACGGCACCTGGCTGTCAAAAGTACCTTTGCATTTATGTTTTTTGCAGTGCCCTTCATAAAGCTAATCAATTACACTGCTGTGAAGTAGCCAATTCAGTGTCCCTTCATCTCTTTACAATAAGGGTTCGAAGTCCTTATGTAAGTGAAACTGAGACAGGAAAAAAAATTCCTTGACATGTGGCCTCACACAGACAACTAGACAACACTGCCTCCTAGTGTCTAATATAGGTATTGCACCACACTCGTGGACAGGAAGCCGTGGTGGGTTGGAGAGGGAAGTTTTAAGAGTAGGTTTAAATGCATACTTACTAGCCAGCAGAAACCATATGAATGGAAAAGTTTAATCGTAAGATGGACAATGGATCCCAGTCAAGGAACTTTTGACTGTTCACAACCAAGATTCAAACAGGGCTAACAAATTCACATCCCTTCCTGAGCCTGGCAGGTAGACATGAGGTCACAGGTGGCAAAGGCATGCCCCTTTACAAAGGCATTCACTTTTCTCAATATTTAAAGTGTCCTGGGAGTGCCCCCAAACACTTCAGAGGGCCACATCAGCTTGTACTTAAAGGATTCTACACGGGGGAGAAGAGATTTTCTTTCTCTTACAGTTTCTTTTTTATTCTAAGAGGTTCCCAGAGCCAGTGAGCTGAGCTACAGAGTTTGCAAACACAGGTTCCTCGTTTTCCCAGTCCTCACGTCCTGCAGACACACGGTGCGGCGGGCGATACCGTGCTCTTATGACCAGAGCCAGCTTCTGGGCGTGCGACTTGTGCAAACAGGGCTCCACACTTGAGATGGTCCCGAGCTTGGTTCAGCATGCTGACACTATCTTGAAATTCTTAATACTTCTTGACTCACAGCCCCACATTTCTACTTTGCTGGGGGCCCTGCAGATGATGCAGCTCGTCCTGCATTTAGTGGAACTTGCTACCTTCCTTCTCTCCCCATTTCCTGCTCATACTCAACGCTCGTGGCACCCTGCTAAGCCCTCAGCCTTGCCCGGAAAAAGAGAAGAGTCCGGGTGATGGTGGTCTGCACCCATCTTGTGCTTCCCACGCCCAGCATCTGAGACGAGGAGTGTGTGTCTTCTTTTGAAATGCACATGCCATGGTCACCCCACAACCTGGACCGTGAAGCCCAAGCACCATCACAGTTCGCTTTATCATCTCTTATTGGGTCCTGTCTAGCTACCGTGTTTATTCTTGCTCCCCAGCTGTTTCCTCAAATAGTCAGTAACCCTGTTGGCAAACCCAGGCACCAGGTGAAAAAGCACCTGGGCTGAAGGCTTGTTGGCTCCGGCAACCATGCTGACGTATCTCCTTTTGATCACAAATTTCCTCGTACAACTTGTCATAGCCTCTCTCCCTGCCTGCATCTGGCAGGTTCCTGCTCTCCTGTATGACTGTCTGCTTACCTCCCTCCCTTCCAATCATCTTATCTTCCTCCTACCTGTCCACCTGTAAGATCACACACTGAGCACCACCTGTGCACCAGACACTATTAATAAGTTACACACAAGTACCCTTTCCTCTTCAAGGTCAGTAGTTTATTTCTTCATTAAAAAAATTTTTTTAGCAGGGAGGTAATTAGGTTATTTATGTATTTATTTAATGGAGGTACTAAGGATGGAACCCAGGACCTCGTGCATGCTATAGCTCTACCCCTGAGCCATACCTTCCCCTCATTTCTTCATTTTTCTATTTGAGAAAACTGAAGCTTCCAGAGAGGTTAGGTAACTGGATAGAGTTGGAAACTGACCTCAGGTTCTTATGAACCCAAAGCCCGTACTTCTTCCTCGACACCAGCAGTTTTCAAAGTGTGGTCCCCAGACCAGCACCTGGGAACTGGTAAGAAAGGCAAATTCTAGGTCCCACACCCCAGCCCCTCCCTGAGACCTGTGGAATCTGAAACTAAGGGTAGGCCCAGCAATCTGTGTTTGAACAAACCCACAGGGGGATACTGGTGGAGGCTCAAGTATGAGAACCACTGTTCTGCCCCATGTTGTTTCCCATTCCTGTCCATCTTCTCTACCTCCTGGAACTGACAACTAAGATTTTGGACCTAGATGGTTCCTAAGCGGCATCTTGCCCTGAATCTTCAACGATGCTCCATCAGAAGACATTCACTGCGGAGGGCAGATGGCATCCTGGGTCTGGCTCCCTGCCTATTCGTCTTCTCTCTACCCAGGTATCCATGCCTTGTCAAGCAGCGTATCCCAAACCCAAATCATCTTTCCCCTCCCCCTCACTTCTTCACTTTGCTTAATTACTTCACTTCTTTCCCACAGGCTCAGACTGAAAGCCATGTTCTCTTTAACTTTTGTTGCTTTTGCTACTCAATCTATATTGTCTTAAAAAAAAAACCAACTCTTTCATTCATCCCTCCTCTTCTAGCCCTGCCACCATGGTTTTCCCAGATTCTTATTACTTCCAGCCTTTAACTCTTCCCCTCTGTCTCTATTTCAATCTGTCTTAAGAACGCCTGCAGACACAGGAAGGTTCAGTCCTTCTGTCTTCCCCACCCCCACAGCACTTTTGGTGTCTTTTCTGGCACCTTCCTTAAATTGTAATAATTTGTGCGCTTGTCTGATGTGGTGGCATGGTAAGAAAATGAGGCTGGCTTCCAGAAGCCATTCAGTACAATCAGCTTTCGTTTTTCTTGGGAGGCACATCAACTGGCTGATTAGACACCTGCCATTGGAGGAGCGTTTAACGGGCATCACCATTTTTGCAGACCAATAACGAACACCTCCAATGACCCAGAACAAACTCCTGGTAACCCAGAAACCACTTCTCAGTGACGGCAGTGAGAAAAGCCCTACAGCTGAAAGCAGAAAGCTTGTTAACTGACCATAGAATCACCTTTGGAAAAGTTGCCTTAGGGCCGGTGTAAGAAGGAGACAGATCCCCAGTACTAGGGCCGTAATGACACAATTACCACCACCCTCTCATTTAGCCTGATTCATTAAGCGCTTGGTTTCCATGAACTAAATCCAGTCCTTTTGTTGCTGGTTGAGGTAATAAATAGTGAATGACACCTCTCTCCAGCCACCCATTTGATTAGCTGAAAATGACCTCAGACTAGTTTTACACACGAGCATGACTCACACTGATGTCACCAAATCCCGCTAGACGGCTGTTGATTCCCCATGGCATTCAGCGCCTTCCCAAAAGCTTCAACAGAGGAGATTATTAAAAGCCTTTTGTTCTAACTTTTTTTTTTGGACATTGGACAATAAGCTTTAGCCTTGAGTTCATTGTCTCTGTTGACACAGTTAGGTCTTTAATTTTCAGCATCTTGCATTGCAAACCACTTGTTGAGAATGAGCCACCACTTGTTGAGAATGAGCCACCCTGACATTTCCAGTTTTTAGTGAAAGCCATTTTCTCATAAGACTAAACGGAATAGAAAATCTAAACCCAAGAACCAATTTACTCTGGTTAGAGAATACCAGTCAGTGTTCCGGCTCATGAATTATTAATAATAACACCTGACATTTGGATCAGTCTTCTCCGTTCGTCAAGGCACTGTCACGTGCATTACCTCATGTGACCTTCCAGCAATCCCTGCAGGGGGACGGGGAGGCATTGTCAGCCTCCCTGTTGACAGCAAGGATGAGTGAGTTGATCAGGGTCAATTAAGTAGCAGAAGGTCAAGGCAGTAGCAGAAAGAGGACTGGAGTCTGGGTCTGCTTAAGGAGGAGACTGATGCTAGGAGCTCTTTCTGATGATCGGTAAGCAATATCTTCAAACACTTTTTTCGAGTGGACTGGTGATCATGGGACATAGAGGAAACGGGGAGAGGAAGGGGAGGAAGGAGGTGAAAAGGGAAGGAGAGAAAGGAAGAGGGAGAAAAATTTCTATGAATGGACATCAGATCTCCAGCAGTTTCAAATTTATAGCCTCTTCTCTTTACAAAAAAACTTCTGGATTTTGGGAGGGTATAGCTCAGTGGTAGAGCATGTGCTTAGCCCAGCTGCAACCACCTCTCCTCTGCTCGGATTAACCTGCTGTCAGGTGCAGAGAACAGCCTTCCACCCACACTTCAGCTGCAGGCTTATTTCTGACTTAATCCAGTTTGGCCCATTACCCAGTTGAATAGACCGATCATGTATTTGACTCATGTAAAAATTCTTTGTAAGGTTGATTTGGAAATTTAACAAACTCGACAATTTGGTACTGGTGTTGACAGGGAAATGTTTACAAATAATTTACACTGAAGATGTGACTTTTTAGGGTTTCCTCAAGCAGCCTGGCTGGCTGGCTAGTAATAATCAATTAATTCTTCATTGTTTACTGAGCATTTATTCTGGGTTTTTTTTAACACTGTGATAGGCACCAGTTATAAACGGCTGCATTCGACAAGCGCATCACTGATTTCTAAAGCATGTTCATAATCATCTTCCCACGTAACCTCCTAACCTCTGAGACACACGAACAGTGTGAGTATTATTCCCTCCTTTCAGCATGTGAAGAAAGAGGCACCCACGGAAGGAGAGACTCGGCGAAAGCCTCCATTTGGCAGATAATGACCGAGGTACGCCAGGTACGACCACTTCTGTTGACGTCCACTGCCTGGATACTTCGCTGTCTTGTTTTTGTTTTTGTTTTGGTAGTCATAGAATCTTTATACATAAGGGGCATAGGAGGAAACTGTAGACTTGTTTCAAAGTGAAGATTAGATACATTGTAACAGAACTTTAGCCCAATTTGTAGACAAATGTGCAGGGTAAATAAGGCATACTAGAGAAATGAGTAAGAACGTATCAGCATGGTTACTCAGGATTGGAAATTGTGGGAGTATATATTTGAGTTCATTGGCTCTTTTGGTTTGTTTTGGGTTTTTTTGCGGGGAGGTAATTAGGTATATTCATCCATTTATTTAATGGAGGTGCGGGGGCTTGAACCCAGGACCTCGTGTATGCTAGGCATGCTCTCTACCACCGAGCTCTACCTACCCCACTAAGCTCATTGTTTTTTATTTATACTTTCTAATTTGGATGTAATATATGTTCAGTACATAGAGTTTAATGAATTTTTACAACGTGTACAGTGGAAAAATTCCCACCCAAAACAGAATATAGATTATTTCCAACACCTAAGAATGTTCCCCTAGGTTCC